GAAACGACATATTTATCAAAACGAAGACATATTAAATATGGCGTCCCTCAGGGCAGCGTTCTTGGGCCGTTACTTTTTCTGATATATATTAATGATTTACCGAAAACTACATCACACAAAATGGTCCTATTTGCAGACGACAGTACAGTCATCATAAAATGTAAAAATGAACTCGACTATGAAAATGAGATCAATAAATGCTTATATGATATCATCAATTGGCTTAACAAAAATAATTTAGTAATTAACTTAAACAAAACAAAGGTTATGCACTTTCATCAGCGTCGTCATCAAGACAATATTAAAATCGCGTATGAAAACCGTTGTATCGAGCAAGCAAATAAAACCAAGTTCTTGGGTATAGTCATTGACGACGTCCTCAGCTGGAAGCCTCATGTTGAGGAGTTATGTAAAAGGTTAAGTAAATCCGCATACGCGCTTTTCCAACTTTCAAAAAAAGTAAACCTTCAGGCTCTTCTTGCAGCATACCATGGATTCGTTGCCTCGGTATTACGCTATGGCATTATATTTTGGGGGCAGTCTACAGATAGAGAGCTTGTGTTTAGAATGCAAAAAAGATGTTTAAGGTCAATGTGTGGTCTGAAGACCACAGACAGCTGTATTGCACACTTCAAATCACTAAAAATATTAACATTGCCCTCCATGTATATACTGGAAACAGCTGTATTTGTAAAACAAAATCCTCACTTATTTCCAAAATTGAGCTCAGGCAGAAATGTTCCCTTACGCACCCAATATGTTAATAAATTAAGCCAAGTAAAATGTAAAACAGCACTTATGTACAAAAGTTTGTTTGGTAATGCCCCTAGAATTTATAATCCCAATGAAATAAAAAATACAACAGTAATTAGATTTAAAAGTATTCTCAATAAACTATTATTAAACTAATGCTATTACTCAATTGAAGAATTCCTTAATGATAATATTTTTTGACAAAGTTAATTTATTTCTTGACAATTTCAATTTTTCTTGACAATTTTAATGTATTTCTTGATAAATTTGATAATTTTAATTTACATAATTTTGACATACCTTATTTTTATTATTTTATTATTATTGTACAAAATTTAACTGAAATTGTAATATTCTAATAATGTTTCAAATGCATGTACCTAATATATTTGTATGTCTATCACGGCAAAACATAGTGGACTATCTTTATATGTAAGACCTTATTATGTAAACTACCTATGTTTAACAAATAAATGATTCTGATTCTGATTAGTAGTGATAGGTTACCCACCCACTGAGGTCGGCGCCACACCTATGCAGATTATAAGTGACAAGACAAATAAGTGTAAAGTTGTAACCACTCTATCCAGGTGTTAAGTCCTCATCAATACAAATGAATGAAGCCCAAACACAAAGTAGTTATTGTATACCGTTGAGGAGTTTTCTTAACAATTACACTTCTTCATCATCAGACCCTTAATGATAGTCCCATTCTATCTAGGTGTAAATTCCTCATCAATACAAATTAATCAAGCCCAAACACAAGGTAGTTAATATAAACCGCTTAGGAGTTGTCTCGACTGTTTGTCGGCTCCATCATCAGATCTACTCCAGACCCTTATCAAATTGTAGTGTTTAAAAATCCTAATTTAGAATCGGGACTATCCACCACAACGACAACGTTGAGGTGAACAAAATGAAGCCCCAAGCCTTAAACAAATTGCAGCGCGGAATGTGGTGTCGTACAACAAAGTACCTAAGTTGGACGAAGGCAAAGCAAGAAGCCATAACCCCGATTCCCACTCACCCACAGCCAAAAGGCGAGTTCGCTCTGCAGTTGAACAAGCAGAGTTCAACAGATTTTCACTTACTTTCATCAAACTCGATTGTTGCGTGCCCTGTTAGCATTTATTAGCTGTTTCTAAAACCTGAACTATTTGAAAGGGCTTTCCAAACCAGAATTAATCTTTGATATCTTCATTTAATTTTTAACTTTACTGATTACTACGAAACAAAACGAATAAATAACACCAAAATCATTGTTTTACCACGTTTCAGTATTTGCTACTACCAATAACCAGAAAATTTGTTTTATTTTAGTTTTAAAAGTTTTCACGGCATCTCACAAGAAAATTATTCTACCAAGCAACCCAAGCCAAAGCATTTAATCATTACAAGTGATCACGGCTATGCATAGCCCAGTAACTCACAGCTACTCTTTTCTAACGCGGACCTTACAGGACACAAGAGAACGTGAACGAGAGAGACAACAAACATCTATCTGCGGTACTCCGCGGAGATACTTCTCTGGAGGATCGAATTCGAGACAAGATAATCTGACAGATAACCAAACATTTAATCTTACAAACTGAAACTGCATAAACCCAATAACTAAACTAACGTCACACAGACCAGTGGCCATCCAGGAAATTCACCAACCAGACGCTTTGCTACTTAGACCCTTTGCTACGCAGGCGCTTTGCCATACAGGCCATCGCCATATCTTCCTCATGATTGCGGCCTGGTGTGTGGAGACCCATATCCACATGTTCCTCATGGGTGCGGTCCGAGTACCTACGAGTGCGTGAATATGATGTCACAGTGTGTGTGTGAGTGTGAATGATAGATGTTGACTGTGATAGATTATTCAAGTATTTTATCAAAATATACAAAAGAAATAACCATTCGTGTGTAATTACATAATAATTGTAAGTACTTAATAATTTTGGAAATACCTACGGGCACGGTGGCGCGCACCACCGCCACCACCACCACCACAGCAAACAAGCCAGCCGCAACACAGCCAAGGGGCGAACCAAACGCCCCTGGCACCCTAATGGCCGCGGCAAATGAGCCGGGCGCTAAACGCCGTGCAAGGCGTAGACGCAGTAAGAGTTGGCGCGCACCACCACCACCACCACCACCACAGCAAACAAGCCAGCCGCAACACAGCCAGAGGGCGAACCAAACGCCCCTGGCACCCTAATGGCCGCGGCAAATGAGCCGGGCGCTAAACGCCGTGCAAGGCGAAGGCGCAGGAAGATAAAGAAGCCCGCAAATGCCGCCCCTGCCCCCGCCCCCACTACCGCCCCCCCCCGCCGTCGCCCGCGCCGCTGCTAAAGCAAAGGCGCCCCCTGCCCCCGCGACCAAGGCGCCCGTCACCGCCGCGACTAAGGCAAACCGACCGGCAGCGCCAACCGCGCAAAAAGCACCCTCACCCCCGCCGATCACCATCAACACCGTCGTCCGCATCCTGCAGGGGATTGTGACGGCGCTCATTCAAGAGCGGAGCGATCCAGTGCCGCTGCTCCTAGACGCGATCAAGTCCCTGATCTGCGATGGACCACCGGCACCTTAAGATCATTCACTGGAACGCCAATGGGATGTCCCCCGAGAAGACCAGGCTATTGAAGCTGCTGCTAGACCAGCGACAAGCTGATATAGCCCTGATCAACGAGACACACCTTAGACCGGTAGACAAGCTGAAGATGGCTGGCTTTCACATCTACCGGGAGGATCACATCTCGCCATCAGGGATTGCCTACAGGGGACTGGCAATCCTGCACCAGCTACTGCCGGTGCCAACGCTGCGCGCGTCCTACGCGCTGGGCGTGGAGATCTGCATCGACCATCAGCCGACCCGGGTGTTCGCGTTCTACAGACCGCCGCACTACCGCCTCGCAGTGGTTGACGTCCACACCCTGCTGGACTCGCCACTGCCAACCATCATCGCCGGTGACTTCAACCTGAAGCACACGGCGTGGAACGCGAACGCCAACACACGTGAAGGCAGCCGCCTGCTCGACGATGCAGAGCTCCACAACTACGTCGTGCTCGGGCCGGAAGCCCCGACGCACTACCCGCACGACCGGCAACTCACGCCTGACGTCATTGACCTGGCCGTCCTACGCGGCATCTCCGCGACGGTCAGCTGCGACGTCCTGGACGACCATCTCCGGTCAGACCACCAGCCAGTGAGTCTGACTATCGAGGACATCCCACAGCACCTGCGACCTCTTCCCCCTCGCCCACGGCGGGACTGGCGCGCATTCGCCGCCCACATGGCGCAAAACTCGCCGTCATATCGGATCGACACGCCCGCCGACGTCGACCGACTCGCCGCCGACTTCACCGCGGCCGCCCAGACCGCACTAGCCGAGTCCCAGATGGCAAACGTGTCGTCACCGAGGAGGCCATCACCCCTCCCAGCCGCCATACTCGCCATGGTCGAGAGGAAGAGGAGACTCCGCAGGCAATGGCAAAGGACCCGATGCCCGACAATGAAGAGCTCGCTCAACGCTCTGGCCGCCAGAATCTCGTCCGCCGTGGCAAACCACACGGCCGAATCCTGGCAACGCGCCATCGAGCACGTGAGCGACGACTGGTCGGGCATACACAGATTGTGCCGCAGCCTCTCCGGGAAGCCAGCTCCGATAAGACCCCTCCTGGCCGGCGACGGTACACCCCGCTACCGAGCCGAGGACCGAGCGGAGCTCTTCGCTGACTCCCTGGAGAGCCAGTTCCAGCCCAACCCGGCCCGCAACGTGCAACACACAGCAGCTATCGAACTTCAGGTAGCACAGTACCTGGAGCAGCCGATCTCCCCGGAAGAGGACCCAATCGTGCTCTCCCCTGGCATGGTGCGGCGTATGGCTCTGCGAGCCCCACTACGCAAGGCACCCGGTCCGGACGGAGTACCCAACGAAGCCCTCCGCCGCCTGCCGCCACGAGGAATCGCGACGTTGACGCGGCTATTCAACGGCATCCTCCGCACCGGACACTTCCCTGCCAAGTGGAAGCTCGGCAGAGTAATCATGCTGCCCAAACAGGGGAAGAACACACTGCTGCCGGGGAGCTATCGCCCCATCACGCTCCTGGATACTGTCTCGAAGCTCTTCGAGAAGCTGCTGCTGTTGCACTTGCGCCCACACCTCCAGCCACGCGGCGAACAGTTCGGCTTCAGGGCGGAACACTCCACCACCCTGCAAGTCGCGAGGGTACTGCACGACCTGGCGGCCGCGCGCAACAAGCGCGAGCGCGCCGCGGCAGTATTTCTCGACATGGAGAAGGCGTTCGACCGCGTCTGGCATGCCGGCCTGCTCAGCAAGCTGGCCACATCTACTACTCCTCGACGACTAGTTAAGATCGTGGCCACCTTCCTGCACGGCAGAACCTTCCAAGTGGCAGTGGAAGGCACTCTGTCGACCGAGCGAAACATCCGTGCCGGCGTGCCCCAGGGAAGCTGCATCTCACCTGTGTGCTACTGCGTGTACACGGACGACATCCCCGTCGTGAGCGGCGTCAAACTAGCGCTGTACGCCGACGACGCCGCCTACTACACGACATCACTGAACCCGAGGCACGCAGTAGTCAAACTACAGCGCGCCCTAGATGCATTCCCTGAATGGCTGGAGAAGTGGAGATTGGCTGTGAACGTGGCCAAGACTCAAGCGCTCGCCGTGGGGATCATGAAGCCGACACCCATGACACTCATGGGAGAGCAGGTCCGGTGGGCGCCGAGCGTTAAATACCTCGGCGTGACCATCGACCGCTCGCTTTCAATGACGCCCCACGTGCAGCAGGCTGTTGCTCAGGCGCGCACCGCGCGTTACCTCTTGCGCCCGGTGATCGACTCGGCGCTACCTCTCCGTGCGAAGCTCGGTATCTACAAGGCCTACATTCGGACACGGCTCACCTACGCCGCCCCGGCATGGTACGCGCTCGTGTCCGAAACTAACAAGAAACGCCTCCGTGCGCAGCAGTCACTGTCACTGCGCACCATCGTACAGGCCCCGCGCTTCGTACGGAACGCGACAATCGCCCGAGACCTCGGCGTAGAGAGCGTCGACGCATTCGTGCAGCGCCTGAGCACCACACTCTTCGAGCGCTCCGATCGGTCGCAGCACGACCACCTCCGGGAGCTGGCGCCCTACCACCGGCGCCCCCCCGACGGCTTCGGCCTCCCACGAGACCTGGTCGCGCCGACCGACCCATCGGACGCCGCGTGAGACTCCCTCCCGCCCACCGGCGCGGCAGGTCGGTAGAGTCTCCGCCCCCACCGGACACGACCGCGCGCCGCTACCAACCCGCCGCTCGCCGGGCTCCCCCCGGCTCGAGCGCGGCCTCTATATCAAGAGTCTGAAGATACCATGAGTCTGTGGTATATGTCTTCCATGGTCATTTTCCTTGAGACACTTTTTATGTCGCTTGACTATTCCGGCACTCTTAGGGCATTTGCAACTTTGTTACACAAATAATGCATTCGATCAACATCACTCTTAGACTGACATTCTCGATAGTAACTCACAAGAGTTATTCTGTTAATACAAATTTCTTCATTGTTGGATCCTAGAAAGAAGAAGTAAAATTAAAAAAAGTAGTTTTCACTAATAGGTAGGCTAGTTCATTAGGAAGATTTTAGTATACATTTTATATATCTTTTGTATAAATTCACTCAGATATCACACTGGCTCTCGACCCAGATGAAACAAAATCCCCACTGGAACCCTTACAAGACGTGCATTATTAAAATGGTTCTAGTTACATGGAAGTAATGTATTGAATAATTATTCCTTACTATTAAGTCTAAAAAAAGTCTTTTGCACTCTATGTCTAACTACAAAGACAAATCCGTGCTGAGCCGAGACGTGTAGTTAATACTTAGTTAAGTTACACAGGAGACTCAATATGAATTCTCATTCAAACGCATATTTTGTTAAAGCGTCTAAATTGGTCGCCTTTAAAAGTTACTTTTATTCATTAAATAGTAAATAAAGAGTGCAGTGAAGGTTATTTTAAGGAATGAAATGGCAGGAAATTAAACTTTTACTCTATGAGAAATCTCTGTTTGAAAAAAAAAATACTGATTTCAAATGAAAGATGTTACTTATACAATTGGATCACTATAAAAATAAACAATTATTACCTCCTGGAAGGACATCCATTGTTGAAACACCAATAATTTCACAATAACTTATAATATTTTAGATTGAAATATTACAAAAATTGCATTAAAACACATCCGCCGCTTAACAAGTCAAACTTTGGACTAAGATGGCGTCTCCATTCTGTGACTCATAGCCGCCGGCGCAGGCGCAGATAATTAGGCCCGTTCATTGCGTCGTAAGATACAACAATTAGAAAAGGTTTTATAACATTTTTATTTTTTTAGTTTATGCCAGCTTTTATCGATTTTTCGCCTGTGTGTGGCGGGGCAAACCACCGGACTCGACACCGCATCGGGCCCCGCAAGGAGCCCGACTAACCCAACCCCTCGCCTGCTGTAGCAGGCAGCGAGCGCATCCGCCGAGACTAGAGATGGGATTTTACCCGGAAAAAACCCGAATATGGGAAAAAACCGGGAAAAAACCCGGGGAAAATTCCCGAATGGGAAAATATTCGGGTTTTTTCATATTTAACACATGTAACAAATAAGTAATGTGTAGATTATGTACATATCTTATAGTACGTACTATTTAAGAACTATTACTACAACTTAGAGCTAATCTAACTTTGTTTATGTTCATATTGCAGTAATAACGTTCTTAATATCCTTAGAGACTTACTATCAAATGAAAGAAAATGAAATTAAACAAAAATCCTGTCTGTTTGTGTGTGATCCTCCGCTCTTAGCGACAGGTAACCCGAAAATACGTGAGCGGGTAGAGGGGCAGGGAAGCAGGTAGAGGGGCGAGCGCGTTGGTGATCTATCTATCTCACACGTTGTTTCGGCTTCATACTGTGCGCACTCGTGTTAATTTGTTGGTTTAAT